GGAGGAGGAGGAGAAGCAAGAGGAAGAGGAAGAGAAGGAGGAGGAGGAGGAGAAGCAAGAGGAGGAGGAGGAAGAAGAGGAGGAGGAAGAGGAGGAGGAGGATGAAGAGAAGGAGGAGGAGGAGGGGGAGGTTTAAACTTGGTTGGTTTACGTAAGTTTTTATTCGCTTGTCAACAAACATATATCATTCTTTATTACGACTAATAATCCCATTCTGCTCCTCCTACAATACAAGCTTATGCTGGAAGAGGTACCAGAGATAATGGCAATTCAACAGAGCGAAATTTTCCGACTTAACGCAAAGCCGCATACGCATAAATGCATATGCACACTTGCCATGCAGGCAAGGGAAATTGATCGTCGGAAAAATGTATCAATTAGTAAATCTGCAAAAGGCTTTTTCAGCATTGAAAGATAACAAAGCATGCAGGATGGTGGCTGCCCACCAGAATCTCAGAGAATGCATGCAAAATGCATGTTTCAGGCTGCAATAGTAAAGAATTGTCCTTCGGTGGCATGAAATTTGATCTTAATTACCGTCTAAATCGGCTTAACTTGACTAAGGCCCATCTTGCTTCACTCCAAGTGAGTGTCACGCTAATTGTTCTGCCGTGAAGGAACGCACTAAGAAGTTGGTAGAATCGGGAGACGCAGTGAACACCCGAGATTAGACGGTGTTTAGGCAAGGCTAATCGTGAAATTTGTGTACTTCTTGCTCGAGTCCACAAAATGTGGCCAACAACCTAGCCTTAGTTGACGACTTATTCAATCTAAAGTATCATAGCATGTGACACCATTTTCATGCCAGTCTCTAGTCTAATGTCGGTCCCTTTGGATGAATTAAAAGAAGTGTATGCCTTTTCAAGCTCCTTAAAGTCTCCAGTTTTTACTGGAAATTTTTATCAAGTAAATAACTCTATCTTTCGGTGACTCTGACGTGAAAAGAAGTTTCCTAAGAGGCTATGCAATCATGCACTCATGCCTCTACTGCTGAGCAAATTTGAAATTACAGTTGCCATGACCACAATGCGTTACACCTCAAAGGTTGCCTCTAATTGGCTACTCTGGGTGGCCACTAGGCCCAGGTCATCTGGCGGAAATTGGTTGTACATGCGTCCTCACCACCTCATACTTTGTGCTGGGAATCGAACTCCGCCGCCTTTAGTCGGTGTTTGAATAGGCTCCTCAACTAACTTTCCTGAGCCTTTCATGCAACTGGATCCATTCAGTAACGGGCAAGGACAGAAGCCATTCTGTCAAAAGCTTCTAGTTGCAGCGAGAGCAGTATTTTACGACGGAACTTCTTTACAAACTTCATGGAAGACCTTTCTGTAGAGTTTATTTTAACAGAGAATGATTTAAGGTATGATGGCCAAGATGGTTTGGCATTTTGTATGATCGTGGTCTCATTTTGTTCTATAGAAGTTGTTTGTCGTCTTTGCAACTTCGACCTAGAGGAACGCACCATGTCCGTAGAATTATCTACTTTGAGCTTGAAGAGATATGGCCGTCGAGGCATCATTAGTAGGCATTTTAGGAGTATTATCTTCACCTCTGCGATTTTTTGCGGCTTTAACCAGAAGATACAAAAACGTATTCCGTTAATAGAAGTGGGTTGACCTCGTTGTCGCAACTTGATCTTGTTGTCAGGGCGACTATGTACAACGCACCTAGTCCGAAGTCGTCTTCCATAGTAGTTGTCATGATTCCCAGCATTGTCGAGGGATTGACTTCACTTGTCTCTTTGACGAGTTCGTAGCTTGGCGCGGAGAATGGCAAAACTGACTGATGATACCGACTACGATGCCGGCGAAACTTTTAAGAATGTACCAAGTCCACTGTCTGATGCTGGAAATCATGACAACTACTATGGCAGACGAATTCGGACTAGGTGCGTTCAACATAGTCGCCCTGACAACAAGACCAAGTTGCGACAACGAGGTCAACCCACTTCTATAAATCGAGAGGAGACTGCGACCATAACAGAGGCTTCAACATCTTGGTCTTCATGTATTCCGTTAAGTTAAAAAAAATAAATAAGGAGATTTATCGGACGCTTCAAAGATGCCAACAATAATATTCTCATTTTTGTGAGGAGATCAAACGATGGTATTCGCAAACCCACCTTAATCAATGTTTGACTAACTTGAGTTGATTTGCTTAACAATGGCGAAGTTTTCAAGACTATCAGTAAATCAGATGTATGAGATATATCACGAAAACCTACTCACTCACGAAAACAAAAATGTCGGTAATTGCTATAGCAAATATAGGGTTGCTTCATCGAATGTGATATGGCATTCCTTGAAATTCACATCTGCCCTATGAGCCA